TTGTTATTTGTTGGTACATTTTTGCCTACATATTAAGTGTTTACGGCCTCGACCAACCTCACACAAATTGTCAACATAGTTACGTAAGTACTTATCTAGAGATTAGTACCTACCTAGTTGTGATTTGATTGTCAGGATTAAAAATCGTTTTCTCGTGTACTTACACTACTTTTAAGCAGCTTAGCGGTAGATATACTCTAGCTGGCAACTACTTATTATTATTTAGGTATGTTTGTTTATTTGCTTATTAATTATTTTAATTATATCATGATGATAATATTATCATACCTTGTTATTGCTCATTGAATTTTTTTTTTTTAATTAGCTCAAGTTTGTATCCAACTGGAGGCGAAATTTAAAATCAAAAATCAAAAATCAATATTCAATAATATAAATTCCTCCGTTTAAAAGAACTTATCATAACCTTATCATTTGTTGTTGTTGTCATGCTCATGCTGATACGACTGGTACGATGATAATATGCCATAGATAAAAATTAAAGTAGTTAATACCTAAACAATAAAATATATTAATCAAAAAAGTAACAACAACTTACAAGAGTACAATAATTAGTACCTACCTACTATAGTACAGACAGTACAGTACTACAGTACACGATTGTTCTTATCACTATTTTAAGAGTTTTGACGTTTGTGGGTTGAGTTTTCAATACTTTAATAATTAATATTGAATGTGTTTATTACTTGACTCAAGATTATGCTTTTACCCATGTTTCTGTTTAGTAACGTTCGTCTCTGGTGTTAGCATTTATACTTAATATATTAAGTAATACTAAAAAGATTCAATTGTTATCTAAAGAAGTAGGTACCTATAGATTTGGTGAGTAAATTGTATTTATATATTTTCGAGAAAATATAGAATATAAAGTTGTTGGTCTCAGCAAATGTTATTTAATTGATACCTATACTAAAATTGTTATTAAATAGAAATGTATACTGAAGTGTTAAATATTGTTTAGATGCCTTTTAATTATCCTATTGAACTTAAGTACAGCATATTCTTATATTAATAATTTGATATTAATATTTGTTTAGAATCAACTAAAACTAATTTTAATGACTTACCTAATATCTTTATTATACTTGGATGAAGTAATTTACTAAGAACTTCAGAAGAGACTAAACGCTTCAAGTACACTATTAAAATACAACCAATTAGTTTTATTGAATACCATTAATAGATCTTTGAACTTGAGTTCAAATATTGATCTTTGATTTGAGTAGGGTTTCAAGTGTAGCATACACTCAAGCTTCATAGGTACCCACTTTCATCAACATATTAAAAAAGGTAGTTTAAAATTCAATATCAAAGTTAATAAACTTGATAAAAGATATCTATTATTCGAAGAAAAAATTAAATAGTGTTAAATATTAATTATTTTATGAAGTTAATGATTCCCATTTGCCACCCGATCTCTCAAGCATAGTAAATAGTTATGTTATTATGTCCCAGAAAAAGTGGAAATATTATCAGGGTTGACATTTTATTTTAATGTTTGATAATCAAAATAAAAAATTTGAAAAATGAATAATTGCTATACTTATTGCACATTAAAATATATACTAATAAAACTTGAGAATAGATTTATCATAGCAATATTCATAACATTTTTACCTGATATTAATATTGTAATCTACTTTGATATAAATATATTTCATAATATTTTATGAGGAAATTAATACTGATTTAATTTTACAAATTTCTGTATATTTAGATAATGTACATATAGCTTGGACTATGATTAATTTTGAACATTTTAATATTGGAAGTGATAGTTGATAGTTGTTCATTTATAAAATCTGTTAATAAATTTTAAAAAAAAACCCCAAGGTTCTTTAATAAAAATTGTTTTACTACTTTGGTAACCGTTATAAAATTGGCAAATTTAATCAAATTTAAACCAAAAATATTTGTGCTTAAGTAGTTTTAGTAGTGATATAACACTTCAATATGATCATTGCTAGTGATCAATTAATATATTTGTTTTAATTTTTATAGTGTACATCAAATTATAAGCAATCATATTAGTATTTTCATCTATGATTCCATATTATATATTTTATTAGGTGAATTACAATCTACCATTAAAAAATATTATTGAATTTAAATTAGCTTTGTGAATTATACTATATAAAAATTATGGTAAAGTGTATTACATAGATGAATATTTTTTATAGTTGAAAAAAAAGATAAAGAAAAATTACACCATATTATGAAAAACTAATATTATAAATTTTATAATAATTTAAAATGCATAAAGAATTTTTTTTAATCATTTAAAATTTTAAATGTTCAATAATATATTCTGATGGATAGTTTTGCTTCAAAGGCTTATTAGGTACAAGTTATATCCATTAAGTTGTGAACCACTTAGAAACTTTGTAGATCTGGAACAAATACTGAATATGCAGAAAGTGTGTGAAGATCATTTTGATTGAAAATTATGAAAAAATGTGTGGGTTACACATTTTATTACTAGTTATTATAGAATCATTAAATCAATGAATAAGTTTAACAAAAAACTATAAAAATTATAGATTGATGTTTAAATTACTTTTTTATTCATTTTATATATAAATGTACAATTGTTTTATTTATAACTTAAAAATATAGTATAAAGTTCCTCATAAGTAATTCATATTGAAACCATAAAATCTAAAAAAATATATAACCATTATTTCTGTTATTGACATTTTCATTTCAAACCCATCTTATAAATAATTTCTTATATTGTATAAATAATTTATTTTTAATCTTTAAAAATCACCATAAACTGTATTTTCTATTTTTATTTACTTATTTATTTGCATACAGTACAGTGTACCATTCGATACTTACTCTACAGCAGATATCCTCATATATACTTTCTTAATATTTATAATTACTTTTATTAAAATATATAAAATTTAGTTATGAAAATAATGATTATAAATTAATTGTTATTACTTATTATTAGTAATGAAAAAAAAAATTGCCCTTCAATAAAATTCACAATTCACATAACGTATCAAGGTTTACCTTACATTAATGAAAATAAAAATAGGGATTCCAGATTTATTTTTTTAAATATGGGACATTTTAAATCATATCTATACTTGTAATTTATATTGGTGTTAATTTTGGGAAAGGGTGACGGGACTTATGTTAGCAATCAAAATATTACAAAATTAAATATGTGATATTTTTCACACAAATTCTTTGTAAACATTTGATTGCTAAAATTACATATTTTGGCATTGATGTAACATTTAATTTTCCTCATAGTTGCTAAATATACCGTAAAATTAAATTAAACACAATCATAATCAAATAAAAATTATTAATTATTATTTGATTTAGATTTAATGGTTTTGGTAAAAATCTAAATGATATGAAAAAATTTAATTTTTAAAATAAAGTACATACGAGACGGATTATCCAAAACATGGGCCAAAAGTGTTATTTTTAAACTAGTGTCGGGACACTTCACTCAAATACGGAACGTATGGGATCCCCCCAAAAAAATAGTGCTAGCTCACAAAATTGAATAAATCCATTACAGATATATTATTAATTACAAAAAATTGGGTTAGAATCTTGTACTAGAACTTGCCTGTTTCAACTAAAAATAATGAATGAAGTTTGCTTAAAATATTTGATCATTTTCGTGTTTATAAACAAATATTATGATTCAATTAAATGTATAATACCTACTATAAATGCATTATTACTAATAACTATAGAGCGGATCTTTAGATTTTTTAAAAATTTTTATTAACTTTATGCAGCTTTACAATAGTGAAAAATTTGGAAGATTTGTCCCATCACAGAGTTAATAATAAAAATTTTATTTCACATATTAAAACATATTTTGGATATTAGATAATATTTATCCTATTTTTTTATATTTTAGAATACATTTTAGTATTATTCATACAAAATTATATATATTATTAATTTTTTGATTTGTGATTTTTTTCAGCAACAATTTTTTCTAGGAAAAAATAAGTACTAAGGAAATATTAAACTAGTAATTAATTTGATATAATATCTTCTATAAAGTAGAAAATCCAAATTGTATTTTTAAATTACATAGTATTCATATCGATTATACTATGGTCGGATCAACCGGAGCAGCGGACCAGCCGAGTGTGGATGAGAGGGGTTCTACTGTAACTTGATATAAGAATGATAAAAATTAGAAATCATTCAATTATCTACTTGTTTGTAATCAAATTGGTAATGTTGATTATTCTGTTGATTCTATTACTCCAGCCGTGATTGTTACTATCATATTTGATAACTGATAACGTGAAGAAAATGATTTTTTAATGTTAAATTTGTTTTTACCTTTGTATTTAAATATTTTACCTGTTATCAAAGGAATAGTGCATAAATTATTTATTGTTTGTGTTGAACTACTTTAGAAAAAAATATATATGATTTGCATATTTACAAGTTGACAAATATTTAGAGAATATTTTAGGGTTTTTTAGTAACCTATTAACATAATATTTTAAGCTTTTAAGAATCTAAATATTCGTTCTTTACTATAAGTCATAACCATAGACAAAGTTGTTCAGAAATATAAAATATAATGACACACACACACAATCATTGATAAAAAAAAAATTCAGATAATATTCTATTAAATAAAAATGAAGATTACATAATATATTTTTGGATAATATCATAATATTTATCTATTTTTTGTAGTTACACACTTAGTTTGACAACAACCAGTAAATTAATAATTACAAATTTAAGATACTTATATAGTTTAAAGTCATTTAAAGGCATATTATTAACTTGTTAAATGTCACCAAAATACATTCTTATCTTAATTCCTAGGTTAGGTTAACAAATAATGTTTTATGATACATAATAAATAAAAAGTTTTGTTATTGTAATATTTAAATATTTAAGTATGAATATAAAATATTCTTCATGATAAATTGAAAAAAAATTTATTTTAATACTTAAATATAAAAGTATGTACACATTAGGTTTGTACTTATTTAATCAGTGCTCGTTAGTTTATTATAGATTTTATAGATAGGTAGTTATAAACCACTAACCAGTCGGTTTTCTCTGAAATGTTTCTAATAAAACATAAGCAGTGAGCATTGCATTTCGTTTTTCAAAAATAATAAGTGTCTCAAGTAAATTTGTACTGCTGAACTTGTTGTATCGCCGTTGGACATGAAACAAAATTATTTCGTTGTATAACGTGGGCTCCATGATTCATTCCATTTCAAACAAACGATGAAACATTTGATATCTTGTGGATTATATTGACATGATTCATTTTGAAAAACAGAGCTGAATAGTAAGGAGAATAGAGAAGGATTTTTTTCTTAATTTGACTCATGTCTATAAATAAACAAATAAATTTATCAATTTTTATTATTAGTCTATAATTTAAAGTGACTAATATTTAACTATGACCACATTTGCAGCGATAGGCATTAACCAGTTAAAAAGTTAGTTAATGTTTTGAACTAGTTAAATTTTTTATCTAATGTCAAAATTTAGCTTTTACCGTATAATTTTGAAAATAATATGTTTTGTTAAAATAATTTTTACTTATAAGTATTGCATACTTGTGGTGACGACTAGTTAATTATTTTTATTTCTACAAAACCAAAGCATTGTATTATTGTGTATTCGTATTTGAGTGAGTTAGTTACTCTCATTAGTCACGGATAAAATTATTGGACAACAAAACTTCAATTGACGCACAATAAAATAAACAAACTACCAAGTAAACTAAAGAAAGTCGATTATTACCAAATACTCAAATGTCTCCAATTAAATGTGTGTAGTGGTCAGTTGCCGACGACAGCGAATGGTACCGCATCAACTGGGCCGAGGTTTAATCCGCATTCCTCCCACGCCCCGCCATCGCATATTCGTGTCCGATATTGTGGTAGATAACCTACTCCGCACGTAGATCTTCTGATAAGTGGTAGGTTATGCAGTCAATGCACCACTAAACCGATGATCCGCCGCGTAATTTTGAAAACCACTGAACGCAAGCTCTTCGATTAGATTGTACGTAACTTCTTGTGATCCCCGTATTATAGATAATTTAGATTTACAGTCGTCCAATTCACACATGTCTGTTCAGTGGGCGAGAAAATTGATTGACTAGCAAATTTCCAAGAACCTCGAAAGACTTCAACGGGGAAATTGGATTGGATTGTTGAAGTATATCATCTATAAATTGACAAATATTTTAAACTAAGAAAAATATTAACACTGTCTGTAAAGGAAAAACTTATATTAAATTTTGCGTATTTAGTTTTTTTTTTTTCGTAACATATCTTTTACAATTTATTTAAATGGTTATGAATTTCATTAAAATTCGTAACAATATTACTTCAAATATCTTGTACGTCACTTCCTGGAAAACAAGAAATTACCAATAACATTCAAACTTGGGAAACCACAAAAATTGACCTAAGCACGTTTACCTAGCGCTAACAAATCTCTCCTTAGTAAACCGCGACGTTACAAAGGACATCGTCGATACTGACCTGTTTTTCAATAATTTCCCGGGCTGCAGTCAGCATTAAGGCTGAAATGAGGCCGTGATGAGATCGAGGTCGACGACTTCCGTGATATGGGCGGCCACATATTTTTCCGGTCAAAGTGCTCCATAACCGGCGTTAGTTTGCTCTATGTCCAGTCGCTAGAATCGGCTCAATCTGTCTACAGCTCAACAAACATGTAGGGATCAAACGACTGTATAGGTACCTCTAAAATTCCAATAATACTGTGATCATAATTGGTCAAATACAATCAAATCGTCGAACTCGCGTTAAACAGTTAGTACATCGGCGGATGACCGGTCTAATGAAGTAATGACTGCATAACCAGATATCAGGAAAACGTACAAGTGGAGTTACGAATCGTCATCACCCACAATACCGGACACTTACATACGACAGCACGACGTGGTGAGGTATAAGAGGTGCTGAACTGCGGTCAGATCTGACTATCTGAGCTGTATTGATCGAGACGGCCGGCGACTGAGGCGCGCTCAGGACACGTTGGGTGGCAAATAGACCGTTTATTCTACCGTTCACGTACCCATTGGATCGGCTGGTTTCCATAACGACGCCGTCGCCCGTCAGCATAGGCCCCGTCGGCATGACCTATTGACGCACAGACACAGAGTGGTGCAATTGACGCAACAACCCGCCTGTGACCTGTTCCGCTAAAAATTCAAATTTCCCATCTCGTTGACGGACGTCAATAATAATTAGCATTAGACCTTTTATCGTAATTATCATTGAGACATTCTAGTATACAGCCCATGAGATATTATTCTCGTTTCGGATCAGACATTTATTTAGGATTAATTAAACTTTTATGATTTTCTAAGTTTGAATTATTGGCAAAAGTTTTTCGTAATTTTAAGATTTCCTGATATATTCGCGCATAAAATATTTAAAATAACCAATAATTACGTGTTTTAAAAAAATAGACTGTAAATATTTTAAATCATAAAATATTTTCTACTACAAAAAAATAAAATAATAACAACACTCATAATTTAATATTATGCATTTTCGTTAACTTTTTTTTTTTTAAAAAACCGCGGTTTAAAATACCTATCAGTTCATAAATGATAAATTTATACAAGTTCTATAATATTATCATATTTACAATTTTTATAGTTGTATCTATACTTCTAAAAGAATCTTGATAGTTTAGCGGTAGGTTAGGTACTCATAATAATAAGTATTTTTACATTATAATATACAGATAATTAGAGAACTTAAGACTTAGAATTGGCCATACGCGATTCTCCCATGGTTACTGAATGGAAAAATCCGAACCTCACATATGCCCGTCTTGCAACTTAATCATCACCGTCAAACACGTACTCGTTCATTGTCAACTTTTTACTCAAGCCAGAGAAAAACACGCAATCCCAAACAACCTTTACGAAGCCATTGGACCATATACAGATCCAAAAAAAATAATTTCCTTCCTAAAAAAATTGAAATGTACAACAAAATATAATTTTAACTTATTGTAAATATATATTATATTATAAGATAACTTCAAATATTACTACTGTAAGCTAATAACCTTGTAGTTGATGCTGTAACAATAAATAAAAAAAAAAAATTAAAAAAAAAAAAAATTAGAGAACTCATAAAAATTTGAAATTCGCCAATTGAACACAAGTATTTAAATCATTTATGAAATATATGTTTTTACCACTAAATACTATTTTATTACGCACCTAATTCTTTGATTTATTAGATTTTAATTTTGTTACTATTGTCTACTTATTATCGTCACTAAAAAAATACCACGTCATTGTGGCTTTTGATGTTATAATGATTATATTATAGTTAATTTGTAAATACTTATAGATGATGATAATTTTTTCTCTCTTTTGCTTATTAGTGACTAAATGTATACATTGTGTTCGGTATTTCTATGTAACAGACATCTCGTATATCACTTATATTGTGAGTAATATTCATTTTAGTTGACCGCATCTTATTTAATGTTGACCGTTAAGCGTGTTAATATACAATAGTTTTGTATCAATGTTAAACCGTTATAACTTGTTTTCATTAATTATTTTTATAATTATAGTTGCTTTGTACAGATCTTCCATGGATTCAATAAACATATTTTTTATTAAAATAAATTACCTATTTCAGAAATTTTTTTTTATACCTGAAGATTATTTTAAATATTTTACTTTAAATAGTTATATTTCCATAATATTTTGAATTAACTAATTTAAACAATTACCTATTTTAAAAGTATTTTTTTTTTAATGCTGTCGCTTAGCTGAATATTGAATATCGAAAAATATAATTAAAAAAATTCCTAATCCTCAACAATGCATAATTTATGGTGCAGAAATAATAAAAATTTTTGTCAGACTTGGTTGAGTTAGGTAAACCGATGAATGTTCTATTCACAGACTAGTCCAAGCATAAGTTTTTATGGTAAAAGAGAAATCAATTCATTGAATTGAACTGAATACAAAGTAACAATAGGTACTCAGAACAGGTGAATGAAATATGACCGTACTCAACTGAAGTGGTAAGCTGACGTTTTCTTATTCTCTCTAAAACCATCTGCAATCCTTAGAAATCTATTACCACAAAATACAAAATATCTATCCAAGTTTATGCATTCAAATTAAACTGCTGGGCACAGCAATATTTTTATATTACAAATCTTACAATAACGAACAATACATAATTCGATCGTACGTCCATATACGTAAATAACGTATTTAGACGCAATGTACGATAATAATTTACTATCGTAAAATATAATTAAAATTATAAATAGCTATAGTGTTTAGCATAAAATAAATATTGATTACAATTTCTTAATCATCGTTAATAAGATTTTTATTGTACAATAATTGTTGTAAATTGTAGATTTTATTTTATTAATGACAATAACAATGTACAGTCAAATTCTCTTAAAACGATCTTCAAGGGACCTAGAGAATATGATCGTTATAACCGAATTTTGTTATATCCGCATTATAAAAAGTAACTACACATTAAATATAAAACCAACCAAATACATTGTTTGGAATCGTTTTACCCGGAATATCGTTATATACGGCATCGTAATAAGCGAATTCGACTGTATATTATTATTTCCAGAAATAATAACAACCATTGTACGTTTATAATAATAATTTTTTTTAAGTAGTCAATTTTTTATACATATTAATTTTATTTATTTTAATCATTATCCAATGCTCAATGACAGTAATAATAATGCAATAATTATACAAATATCATAATACGTAAACAGTAACCAGTTATAACTTCAATAAAGATCATAACAATACGAGTATGTCCATATTAATGAATAGTTATATAGTTAACTGCACTAATAATAGTTACGATTGTTATAATTTTCTACATTAAACACAAAGATGAATCGCCCAAGTGTGTTTAAAATTCATTATTATTTTATTTTCAATAATATGTTGATTAAAACTTTGAAACGGTGTTTAAAATATTTATTTATAATTATTTTAAATAAAATAGACTGTGATTTTAAATGAAAAAACATGACGTAACGAAATCCGGTTCGGCCGAATTCCGACACGGAATACCAGTTGCACGCGTTTCCGGCCTATTGGCCACGCACGTATCGTTTAGCACAGCCTCCGAGGCCACGGCCACGCCGGCCCGGGCTGCGGCCGTCCTCCATTCAGCCGCCACGTCCCGGTCCACGCCGTCCGCGCAGTCGGACCCCTAACCGAACGCGAATGCCAGATATAAGCCGGCCTGTCTCACGCCAAACTCGTCGACGAATTCGGCCAGCCCGCCGGACACTTTGAACTTCCGACTTACCCATTCGACGTTCAGCCACAACCGGGAAATCGGGAAATCTGGGAATAGTTATTCGTGGGTCTCCGGAAGTGACTGAACACGCGTCCGGCTGCCGCGAGGTGTAATTGTTTCTAGTGGCGATGGCGACAAAGTTCCGTAACATCTTTATGATAATGATTCATATTTACGATATAATTACATAAAATTAAAATATGACTTTAATCACTGTTGTGTCTGTTCGTTACCAGTATATTATACACAATATGGTGGTTACATTTGTTGATACCTATTAAAATATATTCAAGGCCACCCACAGGGGTGGCAGGGAGGGCCACGGCCCCCCGCTAATTAAGATATTACTTAATTTTTATTGCATTTATTTGCATTTTATATAGCGTCTTGAAGGGCGATAAGGAGGACTGATAACTGATAAGGTGACACTTGCAATATTAAAATAAATAAATAATTTTTTTACGATGTGATATAAAAAACAGAATTTATGGTAAGTGTATTATTTTTTGCTGCCCCCCCCCTGAGAAAAATTTCTGCGAGGGGCCTTGGATATATTATGTATTGTACACAAATACACATGGTATTAAACATTTACCAGTTTCAATAGTGTGCTTTTAGTTATTAAAATAAATTGACTTATTATTACATTTTTAGGTAAGAACATTTACTGTGTTCTCTCGTTAAGTTTTACGATATTTTAATTTTTAAGTAAGTTATGAGTATAAAAAATATTAATATTTGAAAATGCTCATAACTCACTTAAAAATTAAAATATTGTAAAACTCAACGAGAGAACACAGTAAATGTTCTTACCTAAAAATTTGATAGTACGTCAATTTACTCTGATAAACACATCATAAAATATATTTTATAATACAATCTAACGGGTCAGAATCGTTTTTCGTATATAATGATAATTAATTGAATTAAAGTTAAACATATCCATTACAGTGATCTGCTCGACACCTTATGTACAACAAAGCGGTGTCCACTTGCCAATTGTTTTATATTATATGTTTAATATTTATGTATATTAATATCTTGTACATGAACAATACATTTATAAGTTACATCACAGTAAGAATATAAGTTTTAAGAACAATTATATGATAGAATACGATAATTATTTATTATTTTAATGGTCAACTTATAAGATTTCTTGATAAATACCTAGATCTGCAACTTTACGAACACCACAATCAACAATAAGTTATTATAAAATTTTATTTTAATATTTAAAGGATCATTAGGACAACTCCTTAATATTTCCAGCGGACTACTACCTCTCGAGCATATGAATATTTGATAAACACGATAGTTTGTTGTTGCGCCTTCTAATCTACGGTCTATTAGTTATAAGTGTTATAACTTATCAGTAACAAAATATACTCAACTATACACATTATAACATGCGAGAATGTTGATAATATATGGTATTGGAAATTTTAAGAAAGTTAGAATGTAATGAGTAACAAAGTCTCTTTTAGGTGTTTTAAAAAATTAAAAATGATTTTCAATAATTTTTATTTTTTATTTTAGGTAGTTTTTATATGTAGGAACTTTTTATATATTTTCAAGTATTATGATGTAGAAACTTTTTGTCGACATTTATATATAAAAAAAAATTTGAAATGTCTATAAGAAATTTTAAGAGTATCAAAATATTATAATAGGTATGTATTTTTATTTTTTATTCATTATATTATATACTTATTATGTATATATGAAATTCTAATTTCAAGTATCTATGATTATTGGTTATTTGTTTTTGAGTTACACACATAAATTACATTATATGATTTTTTTCTCAAATATTGGTTATGCGTAAAAATTCTTGTTTTTCTGTAATTTTTTTTATTTTTCCCGATTATATTGAAAAGTACTTAAAGTTTTTTTATTGTTGACCTCTTAAGTACTAATTCTATCTTCAATAGGTATGCTAACCAAAATCAGTAAACCACTTCCAAAATTAAAAATTGAAGTTTTTTTTGCCTCAAAAAGTGTTGGCAGACAGAAAATAAATACTCATCATTATAAAATCGATACATTCATTATTCTACTCAGTATCTAAAATATGGAGGTAACAATGAAAAATTTCTCAAATGCCTTTTATCCTTTTGCGAAATTGTTGCATCTCCCAATTTTCTCAGCGCTCAATTGTGACAGACTTCTCAGTTACTTATATGTTACATGTATAATTGTTTTTCCTTCTTCAATAATAACTTTTACATAGTTCAATTTTAAATTTCAATCAATGACTCTAATATTCTAAAATTGTTGTCTATACCGTTTGAAAGAAGTTTAAATTTGTAATAAAATTTATACCATTATTTATAAATACATAGGTATAAAGTTTCATCGTCAGAATATTTCTTACGCTTTCAATTTTCAGATGATTTATGTCTATGTCTTTGATTTTATCATACTTATCTATAAATAAATATATTTATAATAATGATTTCAAGTATAATTTTTAACTTCTCATTAAATTAATTACAATACAGTACTTATTCTATGGCTTAGTATATTAACGTTTTGTATAGCTTGTACAAAATGCAAGAAATAGTAAAATTAAAACAATAAAATAATTGATGTAACTATAATACGCTTATCGTATGACAATATTACATAATATTGAAAAAACTGCATCACACGTCCCAATACAGAGTAAACAAATATAATTAGGTATTCTTATTTAAAAAAATATTGTTATACTCACGGGTATTTAAATTAAAATTGATCGTATTTTTGATTACACTATGTATATAGTACTCATTCGAGTTTATCAATACTTAAAACTTTTGAATGTTTTCCAATTAAAACACTCAGTGGGTACTGCGCGCCGAGCGCCTAAAATAGTATTAGCAGGACGTATTAACTGTTGCGAGCAGGTACCTATTGCAGTATTGCCTATGATATTAATATGGCCATATATTATTATGTAATTAATTACTTACTATTACAGCAGTCGATGGTTTTCGTGTCTTATCGTAAACGATTATTGTTATAGAGTACAAAGTACGAACCTCCTATAAGTAAGGTATATTCAAATAATATTCATTGGCTGTTGTATTGTTTTAATATTATTCTATCAATTCGTTTTGATCTGTAGTCTGTACCGTTTAACCTTTATCGCGCCTTCTATCCCGTGTTAACGCACACACACACACGCACTACCACGGTAGTCGTTATCTCCGATACTGGTGCCGCCGAACCGTTATCAATTCTATTTTTTTGAAACCAGTCATTTTTCATAATAATTATGGTTCGAGTAAAATATTGTTTATCATCAATGGTTATAATTTATTGTCTAAGATCGTTTAACATTACCCAGCCGTTATAAATTATGTAGGCTTCATAATTTAATAAATTACGATTATTTAGAATATCATTATAGTGCGCGTAGTGTGAACGCGCGCTTTACTACGTGCCACTTGTTGCTCGTCTTATACGTATTGCAATCATAAGTCATAACTGAAAGCCATATTGATAGATTACGAACTCGTCGGAAACGATGAAAATGTTTGGATTAAAGAGAATCGTCGACGAGAAGGTCGACAAAACCGTCAATATGGCCTCAGACGTTGTTAACCGTTTGCTGGACACGTCGTACAAGGGTGGATTATTCTCAATGATTATTGTCACCATCGTCTGGGTGTCTATATTTTTGTATATAGCTTTCTATTATGCATATATGCCTTCTCTAATGTTCACTCGTCCAGTTCACATGCAATTTAAGTAAGTATTCAACTTATAAATGTCTTGTTCTGATTGTGTGGTTTACATACATTTTATTAGCCATATACTTTTAAACATCGATAAGAGTTGAAATTACTAATAGAATTTGGTGTCCTAATGGATAAAATCATTCAAACACCTTGTCCTTCTATACCAGGGGTTGTCAATATGAATAAGTTCCTGGGCCACATAGACAAATACAATAATACTAAGAGCCAAAATGTTTATAGACACATTTTACATTATTTGATAATTTTTTATAATCTAATACCAAAAACATTAAAATTTTGATTTTATAAATATGACGTGAGCCATATCTGACAATGACAAGAGTCACATGTGGCTCGTGAGCTGCAAGTTTGCCACCTATGTTTTATATAATGATGGATAAGAAAAAATTTCTCGTGGTACAATATAGGCTGCCTGAGCCTAGGTTATGTGGTTGTGTTATTATTGTTCAATATATTATGATTTCATCATAAACAAATAACCAATTTAAATTATCTAGTAGGTATCTGAATAAAATTAAGTTATGATAATTTGATACTCATGAGAGTCAAGAGTTATTATGAACTCTTAATGATAATAGCTAATAATAATTATATTACATGTTTTTATGTTATTAATGAATAATTGAATAATTAATTAAAAATACATAATAATTTTTTTAATTTCCATAATTATAACAATTATATTATATGCATTATAATTTATGATTAAGTTTTTATAATTGTAATATAAATAATTAATCTGCTAAATATCTAATTATGTATAATATTAGTAAAAATTAATTTAAAAAAAATAATGGATCAATTAGAGAAATGTTATCAATAGGTAACTGCTATATTTAAAAATATTTCCTTATTATTTGTATAATTTTTTTATTACAACATTTATGTGTACAAATTCCTGTCACATATACTTTTTCTGCTTATTTAGCCTTTGTTTATTTTCTGTAGGAGAAAATATATGTATATATGTAAATATTCATATGAGTTATCAGGAATAAAACTTTTAACATTGACAGTTTTGTTTAGAAACAATAGAAAACCATTGCTATTCAATACCAAACACAATTAGTAGAATTAAGTAGGCATGCTTAAAATATTTGAATACTTTTGAAATATATTATACAAAGTCCTAAAGAAAAATATTTTAATACAATAGTTTAAAATGTAATTACATTTCTATAAGATTTAGATTTTATTAATTTTTGTAACATTTTGATTTCAGATCCTGTTACAGCGATAAAGGTATATGTGATTATCCATCAGCACATGTTCAGTTAACCAAAAATCATCAATTGTTAATGATTGGTCAAAAATACAAAATGACTGTTGATGTTGAGTTACCAGAATCACCAGTTAATGAAGAAATCGGTGAGATTACTGTAAAAACTGACATAAGTTTTATCAATACTCTTTCATATTCTATCCTTTGTCTTTATAAAATATTTTAGGAATGTTTATGCTCTGTGTTCGTTTGGGCGACAAATATGGTTATCTTATATCTTCTTCCTGTCGATCCAGTAGATTAAGATACAAAAGTCAATTGTATCGTCTTATTCATACATTGTTCATGGTACCATTTTACCTGACAGAATTATCCGCAGAAAAACAATTAATCCAGTTAGAAATGTTCACAGATTACGAAGAAGATCAAGTACTTATATACTTATATTTTGTTGGGTATAATTTCGCATTAATATTTTTTTACATATTATACATTTTATTTATTAGTTACATCCAGTTACAGACATTTACTTTGAGATATTAAATCATGATATTCAAATTTATTCTACCAAGTTAAATATCATTGCTAACTTGGGTGGTTTACGTTACCTTATGTTTCATTGGCCAATCTTATCAGCTTGTCTAGGAATTGGATCAAATCTCCTTTTTGTATTTTTTGTGTTCTCAATGTCATGGCGACATATATATGGACCTGAAGTGTATAAAAATGAACCAAATGGTAAATAATTAATCATTTCAAAATTATTTTGTTATTATTCGTTAGTATTTATTTGCAGATTTCTTGGATCGATCCGAACGTTTGGATGAATTTGATTCAGAGGATGAATCTGAAGTATCAGATGATTTGTGCAAAAAAGAGTTTCTCCCTTATAAATTTTCATCCTCTAACCTAATGATTCCTGAGCAATAGTTAATAGTCTTATTTCTAATAAGAAATAAAAGTAATTTGAATTGTCACAATTAGATTACGGTAAAATGTATAACTAACGGGTTAAGAAAACTATCATTATGCCTAAAATACTATTTTAATCTTTGTTATGGTTTTGAAACTGATGGGTACTAGAAAAATATAAATTTTAGATTATAGACTGTTAAACTGTTTCTGTGGTGCTTTAGTTAAGCATTTTATGTTATATCTAAGATTAAAATGTTTACTACTTAATATTATTCCTTTTTTTATTTTTATTTTATTGGTTGTTTGTTGTTAAAGTAATATATTTTTAGTTTTATACGCCATTTTAATTACCAAATTCTATTGATAAAATACTTATATAATTCAAATTCTGAATGATTTATTGTTTATATTGTATTATGTACTAACACATTAAAATGTGAGCACTAACTACTTTGCCATCCATTTGAGTGTAAAAATAAATGTATTTTTGCAAACATGTTGTATTATGCAACATAAAGCATTTATAATATGAATTAATATTACTTTAAATTGTGCGAATAAAACATTGAATTAATATGTTCAAATTTTATTCATAAATTATTTTATATTATTGTTAAGCAAATGCTTCAATACTCTTTATTTGATATACTTGCATATCAATTTTGCCTTGTGATATATTTATTGATGGATGATATTAAGACAGACATCTTTTACAAAATATATAAGTTTTGTTATTTATTTAGTATATTTACACATTTAAGTATTTTTTAGCAAACTATGTTTTAAAATGAATATATATTAAAGTTCTCTAATGCTTCTATTATATTCAGTATTCAAAATGTTTTTGACAAAAATAATTTTTTTTTTGTCCTATTTGACACTTCACAGCTCAATTACCAATATTAAAAAAAAAAAAAAAAAATTATTGTTAACGGAAAAAAAGTAATGTGACAATTTTATATTATACATTAGTATATAGATTACTTATTGCAATTTTCAGTTGCTGTGCCCTATGAATTTGTAATTGGTTGAAGACTTCATTCAATAGAATCACGGTATCACCCCATATTTATATTAATTTATGAGCATTGTCAATGTTATATCTATATAAATTGACAATTATTTTCATAAATACTATGTTGTACCTAAGTGTATTTTAATAGAGAAGCCTTATCTTGTATCGATTTTTATACTTTTTACTTTTTAATAGGTTTAAGTACCTACCTACTTAATAATGACATAAATTTTTAATGTGTTAAGGATTTCCTTTTCAATATAAGCAATACGAAAAGTATTTGCAGTATACGTGAGTGCATAGTAAATAATCATTAATTGTCGTTAGTATAAGTAGTATAACAACGTAAACTTTCCGCGGTGAACAATGGGAACTTTTTTTCATGGGTATTGGGTATATTCTAAGTTCTGCTTTAAATGACTCGCAAACTGTTCGTTTTTAAGTCGTTTAACATATGGTTATATGACTAATACCATGAACAGAAGTCAATTGATTGTGTATTTGTCTGCATTAAATCAAATTAAAATAAATAAATGATTATGTACAACACTGATTACAATGCATAAATTAATTAATTTATTCAATACACGATAAATTATAATTGTTTGGCACTGCTATAATTTAAAAATGACACTGTTTATGAAAATAAAAATTATGAGTAATTAATAAATAATGAATATTTATTTTGAGTACAACCGAATAATTTGTTTGTAAGCAGTTGAATGATTGAAATACGTTGGTTTAAACGATAAAATAAAAAATATTATTAATTTAATATAATATGTTATTAGATAAGAGGTACACCTCCTGTAGTTGAATTGTCGATTCCGCATTCATTTGTGCCCCTTCTTATTTTGAAAAGTCCTTTATGTCCCCATTCCTTGCCCCAAGAGTTAACCATTAACCAATAGTCTACACCGTGCTCGACTCCCCAGCCAATTAACTTAACAGAATGAGCTGCTAAAAATTTTGCGTTCTTAGTTTTTGAGTAAACACCTGTTGTAGATACAAATAAAATTCGTAAGACACATTGTATAATATTTATATTATAAAATAAATGAGTAACTGTCTTTCTAAACCAACCAGATTTATAATGCAAAAAGTCATCGTATACATCGAATGATGCTTCGACTGGCCCGTAAGTTTGCACGTCCTTTTGAATAGATTCGAATGCAAGATAATACGCGTTTTTAGCTATAATCATAAATTATATGCGATCAATTATTGATGTATGGTTATATGAATAATAAAGAAACATCATAATATGTCGATTGCGTCAAAATATTATTATTATTATTTATTAGTTACTCTTTAGACTTACTCTTCGAGTGATCACTTCTAAAGTTGATATTTTTGTTGCCGTAACACTTTTTGCTGCATTTATGATTTTTTTCTACTTGGTGGCTTTCACACGAACCTACTCCACTTTGACAGTGATGACAAGGTGCAATTTGGTATGGTTGACATCCCTATAAAATACAATAACCATTGGCGTGCGCACAGAGTGTTGCTTGTAGCTTGTCGTACGACTTTAATTCGTTCGAGCACTTTGTTTAATGCTTAAGCTACAAATAGTTAAAAACGTTAAAATGCTAACTCACGAGTCACGATGATGAAGCATTAAGAACTTTAGGTAACCAGTTACCACTAATTGTGATATTACTTATCCTGCCGTTCCAAAGCATGAATTCTACTTTGGTTGTCTAACATTAATAGGTATAAGAAATTTAGATACTAGATAATATTATATATTTTGTTAATAAAAGATATTTAGTCATCTTTTTTTTAATAATTATTCGTTTGTTGAAAAATATATAAATATTTAACCAATAACCAAAAGAGTTTTTATGAATAGGTATTTTTATTAAATATATTCTTTTTTGGAGAGGAGGGGAGGAGATTATTATGTTAGGTTTGGTAAGGCTCATTTAAATTTTCTTCATGTCACACCTCGTACCGAATTTCCATGCACGCCTATGGCAGTTACTAACGATCATTTTATAATATACTTGATAAATTATATAAATACATCGGTAGTATTGTAGTTGCCACCGGACACCACGCCATGGTTTTTAAAATGTATCCAAGCTTGCAACGGGTCACCTCCGTAACATCCAAAACCACAAGTATGACAGCAAAATGTTAGCTCTTCGGCGGACATGAGTTGATTGTATTTGCCTTTAGTCGCCACACACAATCTGTCTGCGAATGCCCCAGTGGTACTAAAAGCCTGTTTAGGGTCGTTGGTTCGTAGGATTATTATATTAAAAGTGCTCATGTTTTAATTTTAATTTGTTTTGTGTTCTCGTCAAATTATCGCGTGGTATATTTACCCAACAAGCACCGCAGTTTCCTTGGTCGCGAATTGCGCCTATCGTTTTACAGCGGCGCCAATGTTTTCTCGCGTCAAATTTCTTGTGAATTCTGTTGTACCATCTGTACGAGGGATCGTTGGTTTTTAGTAGGCTACAAATGTTTTTATCATTAGCTATTCTAATTCTTCTAGAACCCAACAACCCCAAAATTACTTCTTTCGGTGTATTAGGATCAAAATTTGCACCAGCCTGTAATCAGATATTATAGTTTGGTTAGGTTTATCTAACTTTAGGAAACGTGAAACTCCAAGGGAAGTGAAAAATCAAAAAATGGTGACAGATAGCTGTAATCTTGTATTTTTAAATAAAAAATTTTGGATTTTAAATTTTGAAAATTAAATAGCACAATATTTATTTCAACGTGCATTTGAACACATTTTGTGTAATTCTAAATGAAAAATGAACTACTTTAATATTTTAAGAAATGCACATTTGTAATCTGTAAGTTAAATTTTGTTAATATGTTTTGTCAAAATAGTCTATATATTATTATTAGTATAGATTTAAAATGTCGGGGAGAGAAAAATTAAACTGACAATGATTTGACTGAAGGTGAATATAGACAGTCTCATCTTGAAGTTTTTGATACGTTGGATTTGGTGCTTAAATGGTTTGAGAAGTAAAACAAATGAAACATCACTCAATTGCTAATATTAAGAAGATTGAGGGATTTAGCTACTCTAAAGTGAAAGTCAACAATGAAAAAATAGACTTTTACTGTACATAATTATGCTAAAATATGACTATACTTACCAATATATTTTTAAAGATAAAATTCATTATTAACTATTAATAATTATTGTGTGATTTTATTTTTTTTTTTCAATTAATTTAGGTTTAAAAATAAACCTATTTAAACTTATTCATACAAAAAGTATATTTTTGATAGAAAAAACAATCGCCAAAATAGATAACATTTTTTATCGATTTGCCCAAACGTTCTATATATATTCCCATTTTAACGATGTTGCACGTGTTATTAGACAATAAATTATAATTAGTACCTAATCGCTCATCCAATATGGTTTTTTTTTTTTTAAATTATTTTAGGAATTTTATTATTCATTAAATTATATAGTTTATAAAAAAAATGATGTGAGCAATATTATACATTATGTTTGAAAATACACAAAAAAGCGCACCTGCTAATCGTAACTATCAAAATACAATTAATGATATCTCGAATTTAATAACTTAAATATTCGCAACATAATTAATGTCGAGGTTGTAAAGATGTTTATTGCTAATAGTTGGGAAAAATAACAGACTATTAATTTGTTTACTAATACATTAATATTATTAATTTTACTTTGAAGATAACATAATATGTAATGCTAATCATGTCTAAGTAATATAATGTGTATTGCGTATCATTAAAATATTAACTATTAAATGCAGATAATAATTAAAATTCAAAAATGTTAATTTTTTTTATAGATGTTTATAATTTAATATAAAGTAAAAAAATCTTACAATTACAATAGACAGTTAATTGTGCAAATTAATGCATTTTTTACACTAATTTTGGTATATCAAAAATATTACTCTATAATGTAATTAATTACACATCACAATATCTATATACTTATATATATTTAATAATAATAGTTTTCGAGTTGGAAACTCTATCCATACGACCATATTTTTTATTTTGTAAAGCATGTCAAATAAAAATAATGACCAAGTGTTTTGTACATATAGGTACTCGTAGTCTAAATAAGAACAAATCGATAATACTAATTATTCCGTTTCAATCATCAAATATTCCAAAGGAATTAATAAGTCGAAATAAAAGGAAAAAATAAATATATTTGTAAGCAATATGAACAACAGTATGTTTACTCAAGTATAATTGAAAATAGTACTTTAAAATTTAACTAAACGTCTTAGAATTATATACTTTTTTATTTTATTTTTGTAAATTTAACAATACATTATTATAGTGAATCATTTTTAAAAATTTTGTTTTTATAATAATTATTTTTTTATGACGTAAACTTATGTACATCGAATTTATATAAAATATATATATTTAAGTATCAGGTAAAATAATATTTTTTTTAATTTATAATTATTATATCAATATCTAAGTTTTAAAATTGAATTAAACTTTTTTGTATCGTTTAATTTTTTATATCTTCATAGTAAATTAAAAAGCGAATTTCTAGAAACCTATAACATTTACCATTTAATATAAAAAAATTGCGTCGAATTTCGCGTACAGTACGCCTTTAAAGTGTTAAAATCATTCTTTGTTATTCAGTTACCGTGTGCAATTGTATATACCTAAAAAAAAATAAGATTCTTGTAATTGTATTTCATCGATATAATATTACTATTATTACTAACTTAAAAATCAACGTCAGTGTATTGTATAATGTATAGTTTTTAATTAGTCTAAAGTTTAAACGTTTTTAAAATGTCGTTGTATATAAAAAATAATAACATAGGTACGTAACGGTGAAAAGATTTGGATCCCTACGATTAATATTTTTTATGCTTCATTATAATAACTAAAAGTGTTAAAGGAAAAATCGTCGATTTTCGACTAATCATAAAATTTTGTTAAAACAGAGAAAATTTCAAAAAAAAAAATTCAATAATTTTTTATTGTTGTAAACAAGCATACGCCATACGGAGAACTTCGTATTGAATTTTCAAACTTTTTGACTAACATGCTGTAAGTTTACTAGTCATATGATATTATTACACTTGGACATATATTATAGACTTATGGGTTATTGATTTTATAGTAATTGACTAATGATAATACCTATAAGTAATAGCTATTCAGAAAACATCATATGAGTACATTTAAAAAGACAATCGTATTATTTATTGTCGATATTTATGATATTTAATTGAATTAATTATTTAAAACATTTGTATTACTTTATATCTATATATAAAAATACTGTATTGTATTATAATTGTTAAAATACAAAAATTCGTGCAAAAACAGCAACCACCTACAAGTTGTGTTATCTGTATTATAAGAGTACCAGCTAGCAGTTAAAATTAATTAAATGTTAGGACTGATGCATCGATAATATTTTATACCCTGACTTAACTAAACAACTGTTAAAATATAATGTTACTCAATGACCATGGCATACGATTGAAAATTATGAAAAATTGTTTTACAATCTGCAATGCAGTCATACGATTCCGGATGTGTAGTGCACATAACTCTAGAATTTAGAGCCTGCAGTATCGTACACCGATATAATTAGTACCTAGTTATTATAGGTGTTAATGCATTGTACATATAAAATACAAATAATAATTACAAGTATTATAATATAACTTACCTTCCATGTTTTAGCGACGCTGTTTATTTTATCAATGTAATCGTGAGATAAAAAATTTGCTCTCTCTAGTTGTTCTGTTAAGTAAGCTCCGAGTAAAATTACAGATATCAAATATATAATCCTAGCCATGATAAAAATAAAATTATCAAAGCAAGAATTTTCAGAAGAACAACTATACTATAAATAGTCTATAAAGTTGACTGTACAACTAAAGTAATGGAGAAAAGACGAACGGTTCTTGTCTTATAAACTTAAATATGCCGCCCATCTTGACGTAAAGCTGTTCGATTATTTCGATTGCTGTAAATACACCGATTGTTAATCAGGATTTTGATTAATCAAATATGAATATCGTTTAATCGATATACCTAATGTATATCTTAAAATCGTTAATATTATATAGTAGTTATTACTTATTACTATTGTTTCTAATATATACGATAATCGATTGTTATTTTTTTTTTTAATACGATTATTTATATTTAGCAAGTAATAGCCTAAAAAGTCATTAAATATTTTATCAGCATTTGTATGAAATAGTTTTTTTTTAACAGCAATCATAAGAAGAGTATTTTTTATTGTTTTCAGTATTTTTTTAAAAAGTATATATCATAATTCATAACTCATAAGCTTCATATTAGTATTATAATTGGGAAAAACTAACAAAAATAATGAATTTACGACAACCAATTTTTAACTAAATCGATCTTGTTTTATTAGTGTAACTCAAAAACGAATAACGGAAGATATTTCAAAATTTCACTAAATATTTAATTTGATATTATATATACACAAGAACATTTTTAAAATTTTTGAAATATTCTACTCTTTTTGACCGATAAGTCTTGTTAATGTGTGAAAATTTTTTGTTTTTTTTTTTTCAATAAATTATTGTCGATTCTAAATTTTTTATTTGGTTATAAACTTATAAGCTTAAAAATTGTAAACAAGGTATTATACATTTTTTTTTCGAGAATATTAAAGATACAATGGCACATTTTTTTTTTATAAGCACTTCAAGTTACATATTTAAATGAAGGATACGCGGTGTTTGTTATTTTGTTATAATTCAAAAATATTATTCTCGAGGACTTTAAACATTAATGTATCTAATACATTTTACTATACACGATGGTATTTTCAAAATATGTTTATCAATTTTAAACTATTTCCTATTTACACCATAAACCTATTTACGCCGTTTTACGGTAAGGAGTAATATTATATTAAATCAACTTTTAAAGTTAATAACAATAATTTAATATGGTATAACGTATATACATGTGTACACTATCATAATACTTAAATATTAATAGTATTAAATTAAATGCAATGTTTTTGGTAAAAACTAAATCGACGTGTCGTGATACTAGTAAAATAATTTACATTCTTTAATTTAGACAATTAGCATTTTTAGCGAAAAACCTGAAAGACTGTTCCCGCTCAGAATCGTGTTTCGTTTACAACGATCTAACTTTGAATTCAAATTTAATAGATATATTGCAGCGACTTGCTCAACGCCTATAATGTATCTACAGAGAGCGATACTCGCCGGCCTACCATTTTTAAAATTTGAAATCATAATTGTTGGAAAAATTAATGTACGATGAAGAAATCAAAAAAATTGTATAAATTGACTTTACGAATACCTGCTGACACGGTACGCAACGGAAGCCTGTACAAAGTACAGGCACCGCAGCGACAAGTCCAAATTTTACCAACCGTCACCATGGGCAACGACGCGATGACGCAATACCGTCGACTCCCCTTCCACGCCGCAAAAGTACAAGGCGAAACGGGAAGATATAATATCACGCCGGACAAGTACCGACCGCCAACGATCGCGATCTTTTGCGAAAACTGTCGCCCTTGACAACTAGTCGTCAGAACGCCTCCGTAAGCCCGTCCTTTCCTTTTTGGTTACTATTTTTTTTTTTTTTGCATCATTAACGTGACCCCATCTTTTTAATAAACCAACTCGTATTTAAAAGGTGTTGAGTTATTGACTACCTCACGCGACCGACCATCGCAGATCTCAGCGATCATATTATACCACTGTCGTGGCCATGTCACAGCTATAAACAATTTCAAAAATTTTCCGCTTGGAAAAATGTCCAATATTACCCACTTTAATTACGCTTCTAAAACGAATAACGATTGTTCACTAAATATTTATTCATCGTTTACGTCTTAATATTGCATTCCGAGGGATACGCGAGACTAAACAATAACGTCAATTAAAATTTACTCCATCATCAATCGCAAAGATCTTTATATTGGGAGAGGGGGAGGGGTGTTTCAAAAATTGGCATGGAAATTTTGTGACAAGTTCGAGTATGGTTGCAGTTAGTCGAAGGCGTATAAACTGTTCCTGTGTCGCCGAAATACACAACAAAGCAATGATAGTATTGTATTTTTGAAAACCTAATAATAATTATTAGTTTGCGAGTTTAATAATTGAGTAATTTTATTTTTGAGAGGAGGAGAGGAGGGAGCCGTACGGCTGGGCTGAAGTCGACTACCGCGAGCGTTCTCGCACTGTATAGACATCGAATTATCGATTGGGCTGTACATGTATATAAATACATAACACATTGGGGTCATCGGCCCCAGCTATCCAGGCTGAACATGGGTTGCTCTCAGTTTGAACACCACCCTCTGTTGGTGGCTCGTGGTCGCGGTTAGCCTACACACGACCGACCGCATTCAACATAGAGCGCGCTGCTCATACAAAATACTTGATATTGCTAACGTATAATAATAGGCGAAATCAATGTTCATAATTTTTGTGGGAATCACGGGGGGTTTTTTTTTACTGTTAATCTACTATAAATATTGCATTTTAAATATCGATCAACGCTCTTGATGTAGGAATTCTTCAGATATAATTTATATACAGTTATTATGTTTTGTTATTTTAATTAAAATCAATTAATACATACACATTTAAAAGCATGCAGTCTTAAACGATTATTTACTTGAAAACATTTAACATAAGAAATTGAAAAATTAACTCAAAAAGTTCTATAAAAATTAATTTTGAGAAAGTTATCATTACTTATAAAAATTTATAGTACTGATTTTGGACGATCACTAATTAATAACATAGTGCAGGTTATATTAACAAAACAAAAAAAAAAAACAAAAATAACTGACCCTCTGTACTTAATATTGAATCAATACATTATGTACATAATAAAAAGTAAAGTACAAGAATAGTTTCTTTTGGAAAATTAAAATTGAGTGGAACGTTAAATATATTAATATTACAATGATGTGTTTTCTTTTTTGCGCCTGTTATTGGCTTTTGATAGAAAATTGAATGTATGTTGTACTTTAGGATTTAAAAGTAAAAAAATTTCCAGTATTTTTATTTATAATCGGGAAAATAAAAAAAAATGAAGAAAAAAAGTTATTTTTACGCTAAACTTGTTTTGACAAAATCAAATGTAACTTATGAATGTAATTAAAAAATATAAATTTCTTTATTTCATTCTAATTCGAAAATGAAAAACTGTAAAATAATTAAATATTTAATAAGTATTTAAATTATTTATACATAATATTATAGCATAATTTTCAAAATATTTAAAAATTTTTTAAGCTGTTTATAGATTATTAACATTTTCAATCAAAAAAATGTTCACACAAACACTTAAATGTTTAGTACAGAAAGACGAAAGTCGTCGTATGTGTTCAACGTTTAAAAGTTCAAAGTAAAATCAATATTTAGTTTATAGCTTGTAGGAAAAAGGACTAAAATAAAATCGAAAACAATTAATTTGAAGTTATTTGCCGAAACGATTGACGATTAGATGAAACTGTCGCATTGCAGTCGCGTGGAATAAATTGCTTTCTTATATACGTATTATTCAATGAGTAAGTACCCTTTTTTTTTTTCTCGGATAACTGACAGCGAAGAAGGATTTGTGTGATCAATACTACTCCTCCGCTGCCGTTGTTTATTGTAGTATACAACTCATTACATAATATATAACAAACAATGCATAATATACAGATATATAATATAAAACAATTATCTAGACTCGTTCGCCAGACTCATCCGCTGTACCCCTTTCCCAGCCGAGTGTCGCACACACCCGTCCGTTAGTATGCACGTTTACCAGTCACCATTAGGGAAGGGTTCAGTCCGTCGGTGCGGTTTTTGCTTCCGCTTCAGCAGTCTTTTCGTCCTAATTCTATAAGTATCTACGATGTACAGATTACACGGGTTTTTTATTGTAAAAAATTTCAATAATTATTTGTGCCTACTTTCAAATTTAAATTATCAAACGAAATTACATAAATATAAATAAAAAAAAAAATTAAAAAAAAAAAAAAAATCTATATATATATATAATATATAGAATCCAAACATCACTTAGTCACTGATCGCTGTAACTCAAAAACTACGCAACGTACGAACTTCAAATTTGGAACAGAAGTTCTTCTCATATTTTCACCGTGCAATAAGAAAGGATTTTCAAAAATGTTGCATTTTAGAGGAGTAATTAACAATATTAATTATTCACAGCCAATATGTACTGTGGTGCACGGCGTCCCAGGGGTTTCCAACTATCAGTAACCTATACTCATACCTATTAGTAGATATGAATTGTTCCGAAAAATTAATCGATAAAAATAATATCACACATCGCGCGTACATCAATAATCCTATTAAATAATATGAAGTATATGAATAAAAATATCCGTGGGCGAAGCCGGGTAATTCAACTAGTTATATTCTAATAAGTAATTTTTACAAAAAATCGTTGTCGCCTAGTAATTAAATGTTTACTATGCTCCGGCCCACTAGAGAACATTACCGTGTTCTGACCAAAACGAGTCCGATCTCTCGCATATTCACTCATTTGCATGCTAAGAACTAATTGGTAGGTACCGAACGGCAGCGATCAACACTGTACACAGCAGAGACGGTCAAACTTTTTTCGGCCGCGATCTACTAAAAATATACTTCACCTTTGAGGATCGACTTCGACAAAAAAGTTTTTATTACTAAGTTACTATACCATCATAATTAATTTTCGTGAGCGCAACCTAAAAACAAACTCTAGCACGATCGACTAAAAAATCGTTTGCGATCGACCTGTCGATCGTGATCGACTGTTTGGCCGCCCGTGCTATACAGTATGGGACAATATATAAACTGTATAGAAAAAAAGAGTTTTCTAAGGTAAAGATGTCTATTTTTAATTATTAAATTATTTAGTTTATTAAAAAATACTTCACGAATGTTGAAAAAAAAAATCATAAAATATATAACTGCGATGAATGACAGTATCATACTAAATGATAGCAAGGCAGCATACCAAGGAGGTTATCCAGATATAATAAGAGTAGTTGGGTAAAGTAATAAAATATTTTATCAAAATTATAAAATTGTATAAAACTTTATACTACCTATAGAGACTACTAGTACTCATATATCTAGTATTGTGGGATACTATATTATTGTTGTGTCTCTTCCATTATCCGTAATTAGATTAAATAATATCGGCATAAGGTATTACCGATATTTATCAATATCGCTGTATTAATGTGTCGGATTCACTAGTGAATGTTTACTAACAGTTCAAATTTAATCAATATGCCAATATTCATCAAAAACTTTAATGTACGACGACATTAACTGTATTGTTGATTCACTTTTCAACATTCAGAGTAACATAATTTATACAATCATACATTACACAATATAGAAAATACGTACATACTGGCAGTCAATTCATAGTAATTGATTATTTAACGAGCACGAGTAAGTGAAATTCGGCGATAGTAAACTGCGCCCGGGTAAAATTTTAAAAAGCAATAGCTATATTTTTGCAAAATTATTTTTAATGTATTCATTACAATCATATTTTATTAATATGGATAATTAAAATTAAAATTAAATTTATGATTTTAAAAAGTAAAATAATTACAAATATTGCAAATGATAACACATTGTTGTTGCATATTCATCAATTAAAGTTTGACCGCTATTATATTTATTAAATTAATTTTGTAACTTTTCACTATTTTTTTTTTTGTTTTAGAATTCAATAACTATTTGATAAAGTATTGGTATTTCAAAATGAAAATAAAATTTCTGTGAGAAAATCATAGAAACTTTAATAAGTCAAAAGTATATTTTAAGAACAGGGCAGAGTTTAAGTTGTCGGGCGCAGTTTACGTATACCTGTGAAATTTGACAATTTGATTGACTAAATGTAGGCATAAACCAGATATTGGGATCCTGCTGCACCTAAGCTTGCAATCTGAAGTTCTTTAGAGTATGTATCAATATCGAGACTCGTAAAATAAAATAAACTAAAATTCGTTTTTATCAAAATAAAATAATAATGTTTATCTAAATTTAAAATGTATTATGTTTTTAATGGCTACTTATTCCCGATGAAATTGTTTAGTGAGATAAATAATAATCATTTTTGTATTACGGCATGTTTTTTTTTTATCTTAACTAGTGTGGCTTTTTGAAAGTAACGATTCTGCTTTCATTTGAAAAAAAATGACTCTGGATAAACGGCATAAACATCATTATTCATTACATAGTGCAGCATAAATTACAATTTCATTCCACACACAATAAATTAAAAGCTCTAAGCTCTACTAGAATGTAATATAACTGATGATTTAAATATTACTAAAGAATACATATATACTATTTAATGTAGATGAATAATTACAAAGTACTAATTTGAAAATTTAAATTATTTCTTTATTTAAAATAACTACTAACATTAATATTTTATGAAAACATTAATTTATAGTACGTAAGGTACGCCTCCGGTAGTTGATTCGTCAATTCCGCATTCATTTGTGCCTCTTCTTATTTTGAAAAGTCCATTCTGTCCCCATTCATAGCCCCAAGAGTTAACCAATAACCAATAGTCTACACCGTGCTCGACTCCCCAGCCAATTAACTTAACAGCGTGTCCTCCTAAATATGTTGCGTTTTCAGTTTTTATGTAAACTCCTGTAATATATGACAAATAAAACAAATAAAAGACAAGACGTAAAACACGTTTGACTGTTTTATAATATTTATATTATGAAATACACGATTGACTATCTTTCTAAACTCACCACTTTTGTAATTCAAAAAGTCATCGTATACATCAAATGATGCTTCGATTGGCCCATAAGTTTGCACGTCCTTTTGAATAGAGCCAAATGTAAGGTAATATGCGTCTCTAGCTGTGATCATAATATACGATTGGAAAAATCAGTCGATATAAACAATAAATAAATGCCAATAACGTCAGTATAATATCATTAGCAACTTCAGACTTACTCTTCACGTGATCACTTTTGTAATCGATTGTTTCGTCACCGTAACATATTTTGGAACATTTATGATTGCTTTCTCTTGGTTGGTTATCACACGAACCTTCTCCTTCTTGATGGTGAAGACAAGGTGGAACTTGGTACGGTTGACATCCCTATGCAATGCGATGACAATTATCATATTATTTACCTAATCTTTTATATAAATTACATCGGTAGTGTTGTAGTTGCCGCCAGAAACAACGCCGTGTCTTCTAAAATACTCCCATGCCTTGATCGGGTAACCTCCTTTACATCCAAAACCACAAGTACGACAGCAAAACGTTAGTTCTTCAGCGGACACTAGTTGATTATAATTTTCGTTTGTTGCCACACAAAGTCTGTCTGCGAATGCCCCTGTGGTACCAAAAGCCTGTTGCGGGTCGATTATCAGTAGATATATTATTTAAAAAATGTATTTATTTCAATTTCGTTCGTCGAATAATAATAAAGTTTATTTGCCCAACAAGAACCGCAGTTTCCTTGGTCGCGAACTGTGCCAATCGTTTTGCAGTGGCGCCAATGTTTTCTGGCGTCAAATTTCTTGTGAATTCTGTTGTCTGATACGTATGCAGGATCGCTGGTTTTATATGGGCCATTTGTCTTAGCAGCGGCTCGAACTCCTCTAGAACCTAATAATCTCAAAATTGCTTCTTTCGGCGTATTCGGATGAAAATTTTGACCAGCCTATAATCATATTAGTCACGTTAATTGTATAACGTTAGAGGCATTTAAATAAAACTTATAAATGTATGAATTAAAAACAATATAGTAGTACAAAAACATTTGAAATATATAATAGTTTAATCAATCAAAATTATTGTAAATATATTTTACAGATATTTTATATTTAACACATTCTAGTGGCAATTTTGGTCTCATTAATAATGTTGAATATTTTTTCCAAAATCTCAGCATCATGTATTAATACTATTAAAATATTATATTACTAAGAGGACGCCACACCCGCGTGTGTTGTCTCTGTATTACATATAACATGATCAATTTTCGTTCAGCAAAATCCATTTTATGTTATTATAGCCTTAATATTAGAATTTATCTACTTATTGTTAAACTTAATGGTAAGAATATTATCTAGGTAATCTCTTAGGATTTTAAATCATTATTGTTGATTAACTTATAAGTTAATACTGATATATTTTAGTAGGAAGTTTAAGTATTTTGAAAATTTCATTGTACATTGAAATTAACATCATACGTACTAAAAAAAATTTCAAATCCCTAAGGTTTATATTTTTGTATTTAATTTTATAATTATTGAGAAAATATCGTTATTTTTCGATTAAATAATAAATTTTTTTTAAATTAAATCTCCAAACGTTTATAAAAAAATATGATCAAGTATTTTTAATATTTTTTTGATTTTTGATTTTTTCATAGACAAATATAAGGAATATTGTACAAAGTTTTTAAGCTTTTTGACATACATTTTGTAAGTTTACAAGTCACATAATGTTAATTATTTAAACTCTTGTTTATATTAAAGGTTTTTAGTCTTATAGGTTTTTTTATTATTTACCTAATAATTATGTAGATGAAAAACATGAGTGCATTTAAAATATAATTGTATAATTTATTACTTGTATTTTTTATTTTAAGTTATATCATTTTTTTTACATTTATATTCATACTACCTTATGTCTATATATATAAATATTATATTTAGAGTTCTCAACATATTTTAATGAAATTATAAAAAATATTTTTCCTTTTATATGAGTTTACTGTATACAATATATACTATACATACATAATGCATATAGCGTATTACTTATTTCATATTTATAAAGAGTTGAAAAATATGTATTTTATTACGCAGAAAAATTTGAATCTAAGATGATTAAAAACGATAATAAACTAATAAAATTGTAACCTTATAGCATTAGGTAACGTACCTTTATAAATTATAACATAAAAATATATTTTAAAATTCAATTCAAAAGGTGTCTCGACAGTGACGAAAGTGTCTCTTCCTCTATGGCACTCACCACTCATAGTAATTTATAGGTACTCTGATCAAATACATAGATTGTAAATTTTCAATAAATGCTCTTTTATAAATCTGAAGTAATTATCAAACACCATAATATAGAGAGTATAAATATATATTAAGTACTTTAATAACAAATAATTTTTATTTAAGCTTTAAAATGTGTCTATGTGCTATGAACATATAAATTATGATATTATGAGTTTGTCACTTTCAAGCTTTACAAAGGAATGTAATTATATTTAACTTGTTTTATATAGAACTTAAATATTTAGATTTATAAAGCAACTTCAACATCATGCGGATTATTAATCTACATTTCATACCTAGAAATCAAAACTTTTAACATTGTTTTCTTAAATTTATAACTTTTTCTTTATTCACTTAAATGAAATATTTAAAGAAAATAAATTTTATGACATTTTAAAACTATAACTATATTGTTGAATTTAAATATACGAACTTAGGTAAAATAATTTATACACTCTTACAAAAATTATCAATCAACTGAAAACTAATATTTATGCATATCTAATTACTTAAAAATTAACCAATTATTATTAGTACTTATTACACAAATATATACCCAACTTTACAAAATAACAACTGAAAAAAAATAAGTCTTTATGGACCATGTTGATTGTTGATGTTATCTACCCTGTGTCGTAAACCAATAATTTTGGTAAACATACCAGAAATTAATACAGGTATTACAAATATGTGAATTTTAAAATTACTTACCTTCCATGTTTTAGCAACATTGTTTATTTCATTAATATAATCTTGTGACAAAAACGATGTTTGTTCTGTTAAGTAAGTACTGAACGAAATTACAAAAATCAATAATAGAGTCCTAGCCATAGTGTTAATCAATAATAAACGAATATGAAAAACTTTAACTGAATAGTTGATTATTCAACTAAACTAAATAATACTAGTTCTTACCTTATATATACATACATCTAACTTGAAGTAGGTATATTACATAAGCCTGTTTGATTATTTCAATTGTTATAAAATATATCGATTATCGGTTTAATTGTTTAGCTCTTCCATCTTCAAACAATTCGAGCATTACTTCTAGTGGTTATTTAATACAATTAAAAAACGAAATTTTACAATTGATTAATCTTCTTAATTAATTTGACATTTGAGGAATCTAACCTTCTTGGTGAAAATCTTAGATCATTGATTACTCTAATTGTTTCATACCTTAAAAATCTGTTGGGTATTGGAGCTGTTAAAAATTATTTAAGTAAATTATTTTTTATAGTTCTAACCACAATTTATTATAATATACCTATTGATATGATATTATGAGGACTTTGAAATTAAAGGAAACATTTTTTAAAATAAATTTAAGGTTCTTAGTATTTTATATTTGTATATTAAATATCAATGAACGAAGGACGTGTCGATAGTAGCTGTTTTATTGTTAAGTATGTTACATAGTTCAGTTCTAATTAGTGTTCATCGAAGAATTAATAACTTTCTTAATAATTTAAAAAAAAAGTTTATACCTATAATGAGTATAATGACAAATAATGTTTCTATTAGTAATTTTAATTATTGAAATGTAAGTTATAATTGTATATATAATAATAATTCATGCGATCAGTTGAACTAAATAAAATTGTAAATATACTTATTAATTATGTACTCTTACAAATTTGATATTTGTACAAATTTCAATAAATTATTATATAGATTATGTTGATAAATAATTAATAATTTAAATAAATAATCAATTTTTATTATTCATTTTAAAATTAAAAAATATATTGTTGTGAAGTACTTATATAAATAATTATTTATTTTCATTATGCGATAATAAAATAATGATGCACTTTCCAATAAAAGCACTTAACTTGTAAATTTCGAGTATTTTATAATATTTAAAATATTTTATCTGACAATTAGAAGGTTCTTGGAATATCGTAATCATATACTATTTATTTTTTAAACTTTTTTATGAACAAATAATAAAACGATATTGAAGAACCTATAATTAATTTTAATTAATTATTTAAATGTAGGTACTTAACTGAAAAATAATAACAACAATTACAAATCTATGAAACATTTTTTATTTTTAAAATTAATTTAAACTATTTATAGTTTATAATCTTCCCGGAGTTTATACTTATGATTATATTGTTGTTGGGATTTTACCTCTGAAGCAAAATAGTTTTGAAATTTAATACTAGTTTTAATTTTTATCAACATCATATGATATCTCTAGTCATATATTACATGGAAATCTTAAATAATAATTCTAAATAATATTGTTGAGTCATATTATGCAATTACAATAATAAAATTATAACTTATGTTTCCATTAGTTAATAATTTTAATTATTGAAATTAAAGTTATAATTGTATAGTTTATAACTTATATGATCGTTTTCATTGCTTTGATATTTATAATTATGTACCTATTCACTGTTGGCTATTAATAAGTTATTAAAATTATACATGTATACGTTTTCTCTCCTTAGAATTGTTTTTTGTACACAATAATTAATCATTAAATTCTAATTTGACACAGTGAACTAATAAGTAACAAAAAAGTACGTTAAAGTCCTATTAAATAGCCAAAACTAGTTTCTTGATTTTGAATTATGAGTAAAGGTTTTTACACTTTTTAACTAATTACACTTTTTTTAAATATGTGAATAGGTAAATTATTTTACTATACGATATTTTCAAATTGTCTATACTATTATATTATTCATATTGTTTATAATATAATATAATATATATAAATAATTGTAATGCTTAACTAAAATAGGTACTATTTGTATAATAAATGCAATGTTATCGAAAAAAAATTAATTAACCTAAAATAATATTAATAATAAAATAAATGAATTTAATAGTTATTTCAAAAAATACAATGTTTCCTAATTGCAGACAAAGAAATAAATCTATGCAAGTTGCGGACGATACCTTTTAAACAGTGGCATACAATAATTTCGGACACAAATATAGCATACTAATTGCTGAAAAATTTCCAATCATTATTTTTGATATAACTATTGCAGACGTTTGACATAAACAATTAACAGATTAATAAAATATAGACTATTTCAAAAAAAATTTCGCCACAAAATCTATGATAACAATATATTTATAAAAAAAAACATTTTAATAATAACGATTGCTATTTGACATAACATAAATATCTTTTAGGTACCTAACTTACCAATATATTTCTGGTAGCTTGTTCTAAGTCCAGAAATAAGTTGTGAAAGGAAATATTTGTGTCTTAAATTCATATGGCTTATATTAACTTGATGTCTACAGTTGGTTTATTACAAAACCCTTGTCCCGTGTTCACGGTTTTTTCGTTGTATATGACCTGAAAAATTTATCTACCTAGTCATAACTTACTAGCCAGTTGCCGTGAAATATACTTAAGGATACTTACAAACTAACGACCGTTTCCGCTCAGAATCATTTTTCGTGTATAATGATACTTCATTAAATTCAAATTTAACATTATATCCATCACAGTAATCCACTAAATACCAAACATACAGCTGAGCAGTATCTACTTGCCGTTCTTTTGGTTTTTTTCTATAAATGTATATCAATTCAATGATTTTTGCTATATAAAAGTAATTTTAAAATTTAATGTCAACATTCCTCATAAAATATATTTCTAAGCAATTCAAAAATATCATCAATACATACAAATTAACAAATAACATTTGAATTTTAAATTTTAGAAAAAAAATTAACAAATTGATTTGGTTTTTTTTTTTTTTTTAATGAATACTTTAACAAGTTAACCAATGTAACTAATATGTTTATTAAATCTATGGAATACTTATAAAAAAAATAAATTACTTGTAGTAATATGGATAAATTTTAAAATATCTTTAGAAATAAGGGGAAGACACAAAGCAACATCACCTCTCAAAATCTATTTGTTTTTTTTTATACTACGATTTATGATTTAATTCTAATTGATCACATATTTTACCCTGACCACTTAACAGTGATAAAATCTACTATACAGCGAACTGCAAAGCGACTTCCATACATCACATCTTATCGAAAACGCATTCGACCGTTCCTAATAGGTTATTAAGTACTTATTGATAACAATTAAAGCACATAACTAATAAGTTACATTAATATTAATGCATAATATGATAATATAAGTTTGAAGATCATTGGTTTCATTTAATCGTAATTTTAACTTTTACGTTCGTGTTAAAGCATCCTGCTGCAAGGTTTTTAAAATTAATTTTTAATAAATTAAAATTATTACCTCCCTAAAAATTGTATAGCCCTAACCTGTGTAGAGAACTAATTTCAAACTGCGGATATACCCTTTATCACTTACTAATTAACTGCGCCCTACTCTCTCTATTATAAATTAAATTAAAAATAAATAATTAGTCATGAAAATTTTTTTGAATAAAAAATAAATAAATGTACTTGTAAATGATTAAAACTTAATTAATGATAATCTTATCGTTTTCTTGCGTTTTGAGAACTTATTAGCACAGTTATATACGATCCATAATAATATAATAAATATTACTAATTGTATTGTTTAAATAAAAAAGAAAAGGTGATAAGATTTATGAAACTTAATTGCAATAAAAATATTTTCTTAGGTACTCTTAAGTGTGTACATTAATATATCAATATAATGTATTTTTATATGTGAATATTTTATGACGTAAAAGTTGACTGTAAGAAAATTATATAAATTAGGTAATTATGCTGTATTTAGATTATTCATTATAATTATCATCGATCTACAGTATATGCGTGAATAGATGTTTTACTTTTTTTTTATTTTTCATAAAAATGGCTAAATTTATAATTTTTATATCTGTAGTATTACTTAGTGTTTACCTAACAGAACAAGCATATTTTTTAAGTAAAGCTTATGTAAACACTATCAATGAAGTCGCTAAAACTTGGAAGGTAAAATTCACATATTCCTATTTTAATATAAAATTAATTAAATTGATCACAAATTTATTATTATTTCTTATACATAATAATGTGTACGTAAATGTGTAATAAATATTAATTATTTTAGTATATATTACGTAAATATTATTATATTATATTTTAAATATACAATACACGAAAGTAAACTATGTAATTTTGAAAATAAAAAAAATGAAAAGAACTCAGTTAACAGTTATACTTATTGCATATATTGTTAAGTAGATGAATATCAATAAAATATTACTTTAGCATAATTAAATATAACAATATAAAAATGTATTATTACATTTTGTGTTTTACATTATGTATTTTAGGCCAAACAAAATTTTCCCGAATATACGACCAAAGAACAAATCGTCCAATTGTTAGGATCGAAAAGTCTCAAAGGGGTTCCTAAAAATTCGATTAAGAAAAATGATGACAAGTACACGAAAGTCGAAGAAATTCCAAAATTTTTCGACGCAAGAATAGAATGGGAATATTGCAAAACAATTGGAAAAGTCCGTGACCAAGGAAATTGTGGATCTTGTTGGGTAATGAACGAACACTATTATGCATAATTAGTGGATACTTCTACCTACTAACAGCATTTGATACATTGTATTATATTATGTTGTTGAATTAAATGAACTTACAGGCACATGCTACCACCGGAGCCTTCGCTGACCGATTATGTATAGCGACGAATGGAGAGTTCAATGAACTCATATCCGCCGAAGAGCTAACTTTTTGCTGTCATTTATGCGGTTTCGGATGTAATGGAGGTAATCCATTAAGAGCATGGAAATATTTTCGAAGTCACGGTATTGTTACCGGAGGCAACTACAACACTACCGATGTAAAATAATAAATAAATTTATAATTTATATTTTTAATGGTCTGCAAATTAATAATATAATTTTGTATTATGTATAGGGATGTCAACCTTACAAAGTAGCACCTTGCATACGAGACGACGAGGGACATAGTTCATGCTCGGGAAAAAAAACAGAACCTAATCACAAATGTGCTAAGAAATGTTACGGCGACAAAACAATCAATTACAAGAAAGACCATCATAAAAGTAAAATAATACGACCGCATTCAAACCAACACCACGGGTTGTGTAATTTTTTACAAAATTAATGTTATTTTTTACATTTACCCGTAGCCAAAGACGCATATCAACTCACCAACATTACAATGCAGAAAGACACGATGGCGTACGGACCAATTGAGGCGTCATTTGATGTTTACGATGACTTTGTGAGTTACGAATCTGGTACGTATTACTTTTAATTATTTTATTACAATTATTAATATCGTTTTTAATAATGGTAATATCGACCATGAGTAATTTCATATTCACAATACATTTCCTTCATGTATATTATATAACGTACATTTTTTATAGGAGTTTACCAAAAGACCGAGAACGCTTCGTTCTTGGGAGGACATGCAGTCAAAATGATCGGATGGGGCGAAGAAAACGGCACACCGTATTGGCTGATGGTCAACTCTTGGGGTGAACAATGGGGTGCGAAAGGGTTGTTTAAAATACGCAGAGGCACAAACGAATGTAGAATTGAAGAATCACCCACAGCTGGCGTACCATTAGTATAAGTCACATACTATATAATATATTACTGTTATCGATATTACACGTCATCATATATACTTCACTCACTTATTGTTTATATATAAAACTACATATTACCTATGATACTCGTCAATTTTATTAGTATAACTATTATATGATATGCACACGATGTCAACCAGTTATAACTCGGGGATGGCTCAAAAATGTTATTAATATTAGTATGATTAAAAATATTTTTGTTTAACTGTTTGTGTTGCTTATTATAAAAAAGGCATCATAAAAATAATTGATAAAGTAACTGGTAAAAATGTACGTGAATGCAAGGGCACCCATAGAAAAATTCTCAAGGGGGGGACAAAATTTTAATTATGTCCATAAGATAGGAAAGGGTTTACAATTTAACATTATACTATATTTTATATATCAAACTGGAAAATTATAAAATAATAATTATTTAATTAACCATAAAAGTTATTTATTGAATTTTTATTTGATTAATAACATAAATTTATTAAAATATTAATTAATCATAAAAATTGTAAATTTCTTTTTTAAACACCAAATATATTTATTACTTGTTCTATGTATATTCATTCGTTTTGTCATCAATTTTTTCCCTATGTTCGCTTATCATGCATAATCCATAAGGTCTGTCTTCACTCATTGTAGATCTTGTGTAAACAATTTTTCAACATTTTAAACATTTTCCAGGGGGACATGTCCCTCCCTTGTCCCACCATATGGGCGCCCTTGCGTGAATGTATGATTAATTATAATAATTCTCGTAGAGAGTCTAAATAAATAATTTTTGTTTGTTATATTCCTTCATTTATTCTTGAGTATAATTTATTTATATTTTCTATCGTTTTTTTCACTTTTTTTCAACTATTTTTAAAAATTTCTCGTAGTTCAATTTGTGTATGTTTCAAAATTACCCTGGTGGCAATTTCCACAGTATTATATGGCTGTGACTTTATTGTCTTTATTTTGGAGACACAATTTACCCATTCCAACATAATAAATTATATACACATAATATATTATACAATACGCATAATAAATACGTACTTGGCCTATGAAGAGCACTATGAGTACCCGTAAGTAAGTCTATTATACCTTTAGTAGGTCAATTACTAATTTATAATCTGTGTTGTTGAAATATTGTTGACAATTTGAAAATTGTATTAAGTACCTTTTTTATCTGTGAATATAACTGCAGTACAACTCGACTGCAATTATCTATATTTATAGCATTATATAAACTATTGAATAAAATATGATAATTCTAAGTAAAATTGAAATATAATTGTTTATATTTGTTATACCTACATACATTATTTTTCTTATTAATTATTTAAACTAAGTATTTATTCACTAAAACTCGGATACTTTCGATACTGAATAAACTTACCATTATATTTCGAGTTTAATTTGTATACATCTTCTAATATCTTTGTAAATATTAAAGCAACTTCAGCTTTTCAACGAATATTTATATAAGTAAATATTGAGTATTATTGGATGAAATTATACGTGTGTGTGCACGCCAAGCGCCTAATTAATATTATATTTATCTATTAAATAATAAGTAATAATAATCTATGTGACTTTGACACTTTATATATTTTATAAAATTATATTTATAATGAAAGATACGCCTTTATGTATAGGTCTCAGTGGTGAATATTTCACTATCTAAGTAATCAATCATAAATCACACACAATAATAACATAACCATCCATAATGATTTGTCTAAATGTTGACTATTATTTAAAATTATGTACTTAAGTATTTTGATTTCTTTAGGAACCAATGTTTTATTAAAATGAGTTTATCAAATAATTAAATATATGTATTTTATTAAAAAAATTTATTTATCAGTTGATAACTGACATAACAATCGTATATGCTTATAAATTTTCAAAATAATTAAATTAAATATAAAAAAAAAAAAAAAAACAAATGGTACAAAAATTACGAATACAGCGACGTCAATACGTTCGTAAGTATTATAACTCGTGCTTGTGCAACGAAGGTTTACGTCTTGTCGCAGCCACACCAATACATTCTGTAATGACTAATGATTAACGTAAGAAGCATCATCCGATCGGATAACCGTATTACTAGCGGACATCGTTATTCCGCCTTTTCTTGGTGTGTTTCTTTTAAACCTAAACAAGTGCAACAAGAACCGTGGTCGAGCGGACGTTTATGATGTAAGATTTCATTCGAACCAAGGTAAATATAGGTAATATTATGAAATGGTTGTGCATTAAGTACTGCGTTTGACCAGAATGAATATACATGTTACTGCCCAATAGAAATACGTAACTTAACAGTCGACCACTACCATAATACTCTAATACGGATAGTTGTGTAATCCAAAGTATATATCTATGTAAATGTATAACTATTAGCCGGAATTAACAAAATATAAAATGAAAAATCTTCTTCTTTCTATCTCGAGTTTAAAATTGAATTTAAAAAACGAATTGGTTAACAGAAACTTACACTGTGTATATTGTTATATATTTAAAATATGTTTATACGTCTACTCGTAATTATTAAGCTTACATTCATTTTTATATCGCCTTCTGCTGGCATAATACAAAACCCACTGTTTAGATCGTACAGCAAATAACAAAATAATTAAATAAAGAATTAACCAGTAATCACTTCAAAAAAATTTGTTAGCGCCTCCAAAGAATTAATTTATGTTATAGTAAATTGTACACACATTTATTATTTCAACAATTTAAATAACAATCAAAAGTAATATAAAATAAATTTTAGCTCAAAATTAGCTAAGTTTTTGAAAATTATACTATGTGTAGAAAATTCTAATGAAAATATTTTGTAATAATGTCAACTATCTAAGATTTATCGTTTTTTTAGTTTACTTTTGAATAAAATCGTTTTGTTGAAAACTAATTTTGCGTGATGATCCCGTGTTTCTCTAATTTTTCTTAGTTATCAAGAAAATGTTTAGGAATTTTTAACATTTCGCCTTCCAAAATTACTAAATAGATCCACTTTTTTACTTTTCTACCAAAAAAGATATTTTAGTTTAAGATTGAATAATTTAATTGTTCAAAAAGGCAATGATTTAAAATACACATGTTATTGTTCAACGTAGAATCTAAAATTTTGTTAATTTTCAACTACAATAATTATAAAGATGAGAACTTCTTTATAACTTAATTTTTTAATAACACTACTAAAATGTATGAATCACTTAATTACTACTCACATAATTATTTAATATTAATTTTTCTATTATTGCAGTTAGTAAAATAAAAAATATACATATCCTATTAGTTGCTCCTCAAATTAAAAATATATTATTCTAAAC